ATCCCACATCCGACCAGTAGGTGGCGGTAATAGTACATTGCTGCTTGAGTCGCCTTCCGCCGGAAAACCTTAAAGAGGAAGAAGAAGGAGACACGTTTTTTTTATTTTATTTGCGCTTCTCAGACTGCAGGTTTTMGGTCGAAGTTGTTGACAAAATCTGTGGTAAATTGTTAATGACATTAATACTTTTCAAATCGTACATATTTATCTTCTGCTAAAAACGTAGTTTGAATCTTGGGTCTGTAACCGGATATACCCTGAACTTTAACGTGAGTCGATGATGTGCGTCACACAAAGCACGGTCTGTCCGTGAAAAGGCGCCATGTTGATTTGGATGRTAGGCCTCGTTTTTATTAGGGGTGYGGTAAATATAYAGCTCTCTTTAAAAGTCGAAGGTGTTTAGAATTATTATTCCAAGATGTCGGCAGATGATTTCCAGACAAAGTATGCCTCCGTGATGGAGAGCATGTTGAAGTCCGCTATCGCAGAGACCACGAAACTTTTCGAAAACATGGTTGACGAGCTGAAGGCAGAAATATCCCAGATCAAGAAGGAGAACGCGGACCTAAAATCGAAGTGTTTCCAGTATGAAGTCGAGAAGAGCCAGCCGGTTGATCGCGCTGAAGAAAGTGATTCTCAGCCGGGGCAAAGCGATGATTCTGGGAAATGCGACTCTGGGATACAATGTGGTGAGTATGATGCTAATTAGCCAACATAAGCTAACTAGAACAGATACTTAGAATATATTTTACTTGAAATGTTAGTGTTATTTTGGTCCAGTATATCGATATATTAATGTTATCTGGCTAGTTTCATAGTGCTGGTGTCCGTTCACGTAATCAGCCCAGTCTTATCAAAGAGGGTGGGATCCAAAAACGAGGGAAACCATACTGTAGTGTCGCAGTGTAAAGAACAGAGTGTGACTCAGTAATCATGCGGCAATACAACTGCTTCTGACAAGAAAATAAGAAAGGAAAATCAAACTTCAATTTATTTTAACCGTATGTTATTTTACGTGTGCTTAATATAAACTAAAATTAGAATTATACTTAAAGGGAATTGCCATGTAATGCAATAAGATGGTAGAGATGTTTTCTAAAATAGTTTAAAGTGTGATGGTGTGGAAAAAGTGAGGCATTTCAAACAGTAAAATAAAATGTCAGAAAAACATCAGTTTTGATTAGACTTATATTTTGCTCTTTTGATTACTTTTTGGACAGTTTTATTTCTGTTTATTTGCGTCCATTTACAGTATATTGTACTTTTTTCTATTGCAACAAAGAAAAAAAAAACATCCACTGCATTGTGGGTAGTGGTCAGTTATTTATTTATTTAGATTTTATTTATTTTTGTTTTGATTTTTGTTAAAAGCAACCCTGCATTACAGTGTTGGGC